AACATTTTCTCATCTCATAAATGGCGATATCAAATTTGTCGTTTAATGTTTTGCTTAACGAGCGGTCATTTACGTTCGTTCAGTACAATTTAATTGTAATCGCCGTCCAGCCTGCATGCAAATGTGCTTATTAAGACGATCGAAAACAATTTGCAATTCTAATTTATAAGGCGCTGTTCGTATTGGAATTAAATGTTTTATTAGATAAGGACAAACTTTAATGGGCATGTTACCTTAATGACTAAACAGGTAGACTGTGTTAAGTCGCATTTTAAAAATAGTTATGTTCTGTGTCGAGCGCCTTCTGATATTTTAGTAGCAATGTCGTGCAATAGAAAATGTTGAAATCCCAATAGGCGTTAGTTAAAAAGTATTTAGAAGACAGTGTCGGCTAAAAATGAGTATAATTTCTATTTTAATTAACTAAATATGTTAAGTAAATATGTTTGTCAAAAAAATAAAATTACATTTAAATAAGTTACCAACTCTAATTCAATTTAGGAAGAATAAAAAGAAATGAAATAAAATAATTTTTATCTTACAAGATGAGGCTTGTAAAAATATTATTGCAAATGTCGTAAAATTCGTTACAATAAAATTCATGTTACAAATAACAGAATAAAAGCCAATCCAAGCTAATCCAGGATTACAGCAAATAAAATTTATTCCATTATGTAATCCGATTATTAACGTAAACCTATGTTATGAGGTTTGTAGTTTAAATCGATAATGTAGTTTTCGTCCATTTTCATTTGACTTCTATGTTGGTATCTTTTATTTATGTATAAAATCTATACTATTATAATAAAGCGTAAACACACACATCTTTGTTACCTAAGATGTCAGCAATTACAGCATATTTTTGAATAATTCTTTCTTTAATAAAAAGCCCTTTACTTCCGCCACGCTTAAGGCTATATATTTTAATGCCATTAAACTTAGGGGATAAATATTTCGGATAAAAACCCTAACGTGGGAAAGAGACCATAAGCTGCTGCCAACATCAAGGAAGCAAAATTGACATGCTTTGTCATCATGTCATGTCTGTCATTTTGACATTTGCTATTGATAATTTGACAAATGTAAACAATAAAATATTTTTTTTATAATTTCATGCGGATGAAGCCGCACTGGAATAGCTAGTAAGTAATAAAAGCAAGATAAATAGAGCCATGTAAACGAATTTAAACTCACATGCTGGTACACACAATTGATAACGCAGAAATAGTCCTAAATAAATGTAATGCATACCTCACTAACAATTCACCAATTCGCGACAGTTCTCCAAACTTATAGCTACTTAAAATCAGCCCACGTTTCTTCTGCCTATTTTATTGAGTAGTGTTTATGTTGCGTGCGCTCACGTATCCTTGAATTGCTATTGCCGAATTACCTGTGCAAAAAACATTTATTTTAACTTGAGATATAGCGCCTGTCAAAATTTAATAGCAAAGGTTACGACGGCCGCTTTAAGGCGTTAGAACCAGATTTGTTGAAAAATCTAACTTTTTTCTAAAATTTAAGTCTTAAGTTATATAATAACTTCTTGTATTTTGATATAATATGATACTTATTACTATAGTTTGTCTAAATAAGATAGATTAGTTTGACAATTCATTTTAAATTTAGTAGAGATAGCTTGTGTAAAAAAATATCATACAGACGAATTGAGTACCTCCTTCTTTTGGGAAGTCGGTCAAAAATCAGTCATGAACCTTATCGATTTTAGATTTTTATTCTTATAGAAGTTGGAATTGATAGATCCATAGTTATAACCCATGAATTAATAAAAAAAAAACTCTGTTTTCTCAAATAAATGTCTATAACAAATAATGAGAGTAAATAAATGAAATAATAATTTTAGTTGAGTTTCATAATAATTTAAACCGAATATCGATAGTTCAAAATTGTTGGCTATGCTTGTTTGTTTCATTACTATACCTGTATATTAAGTACGGCATTTGACTTCATACAAATTTAATTCGATACTTCATATGCGTCATTTATCAAACTAATCTATCTTATTTAAATAAACTATAATTTATCTGCTATGTAACTTGATGCGGAAATTATAAGTTGAGCTGCAATGCTATGACGTCAGCCATTTTATTTTCAAAAATAAGATAAGCGTAAATGTCAATTTAAAATAAAATAACTAAAAATAAGACATTAAAGTGCATTGGTTATTTATGTTGTTTTGAAAAAATACAACGTGTGACAGTAATAATAAACGTATTAAAAAACTTTTGATTTTTTAAATGTAACGTCAAATAAGCCAAAGAGTAAAAAGATAGATTGTACATTTATCTAGCATGCAAAAGTAAAAAAGTAATAAAAAACGTCCCAAAGCCAAAGACAGCGATAAAGTGAGACTTAGTAAACACGTATCTTTATTCTTTAAACATCTATTTAAATAAATAACCTAAATGCAAATTTTATTCAATCTTTAAATAAAATTTCTTGAATTCTCCAACATTTTGATTTAGATAACGTAAGTAGCGGTTCTTAAACACGAATATTAGCAACACAACATTAATTGATGTAAAAAAAACAATCGACGAACGCTTTCATGGATAAGATAGCGCCATCTATTGGTTGCTTTTTAAAACGAAAATTTTAATTCATACCAAAGAAACGAATGCAATATTCTTTTATAGTTTCCGCCACTAGTTTTTAGGTTATTTCTAGACATACAAAAATACTAAATCTAAATCTGGTCAAATTTTCTTGAATTTGACACAGTTGTAGATCTGCTATCTTTTTAATTCCTAGCGAACAAAGCCACGTGCAAAAGCTATATGATATAAAGACAGATTTATTTTATGTTTTACTATATTTGTAAAAGAACGTAATAAAAGGTGGGGTTTAGTAACTTTTTGTCCAAATCGGGTAAAGTTGCCAGCCTTGAAAACAATCGAAGTCTAAAATTACTATTGTTTGGTAATGCCATAAAATAAAAGCAAAACTACCAAGGATTATTTATTTTTAACTCAATTTTATTAGCTTATCCTGCATGCATACTTGTATACCTTGATAAACTTTAAAAATATATTTGGTAGTAGTTGTTTGGTATTTTAACTAGATGGCGCTCGCGAAAATTTCTAAGATATAAAATGGACTACTAACAGAAGATTTTAGAAAGTAATGAATTCTGCTGAAATATTTATTCAAATACATTAAATCTGGTCATTTAGGGGTGATTTAAATACATCACGCTTGCATATATAGGGTGATTTTTTACGGACTGCTATTTTTTTTTTCAATTTAATAACGTTAAAACTGTATAAAATCAGGTAACATACTTCAAGCTTAAGGTCTATTTACAATTTAAATTAAAAACCAAAAATGTAAAAAGATATTAACACACATATGAATGTCATGTTCCAAAAATAAACAGAAATACTACGGAATTTATGTCGAAATAAATGACCACAAATGGTCCTTTTTAATTATATGTCTCGTTTAAAAATGGAATTTAGGGCAAGTGTATTAATAAAAATTGGGTTTATTTCAGTATCGTTTATTTATAACTTAATTATGTACACAATAACGTTAACTTACAAGATTTAGCCTCTGATATAACATGGTATATAACTATATTTTTCTCCTATTGCATGTACTTTAGATAAATAATCTATACTATTATAATAAAGCGTAAACACACACTTCTTTGTTGCCTAAGATGTCAGCAATTACAGCATATTTTTGAATAATTCTTTTCTTTAATAAAAAGCCCTACACTTGCTACACGTTATAGGTTATATATTTTCACCCTATTAAACTTAGGGGGTAAATAAATTGGAAAAAACTTTCATGTTAGAAAGAACAAGCTACAGCCAACATTAGGCAATTAAGGTAATTATGGTAACGGTAATTTTGACATTTGAAATTGAGAATTTGAAAAATGTAAACGATCAAATAAAAGTTTTTATAATTTCATGCGGATGAAGCCGCATGGGAACAGCTAGTACTATACGAAAATATTATACTAATCCATTCATTTATTTAAAATTATTCATCCACTAAATTGAAATTATCTTAAAAAACATTGTAATTTATCTTTAATAATAACATTATTTGGAATTTAAGTAAATTCATTCTCTTTGTCACAATTATACATTAAAGTGAATTGAATTTATAATCAGTTACATAATAATTAATTGCTGTAAATATGCATTTCTCAGTACAAATAAATCTATACTAATATAATAAAGCGTAAACACACTACTTTGTGGCGTAAGATGTCAGCAATCACGGTAAATTTTTGAATAATTCTTTCTTTATTAAAAAGCCCCACACTTCACGTTTTAAGCTATATGTTTTCACGCTTAAACTTTGAAGGGAAATAAATTGGATACAAACCCTAATGTGGGAAACAACCAACCATAATTTGCTGCCAACATCAAGAAAGCCAGGTTGTCATCATGTTATGTCATTTTCAATTGCTAATTTGACAAATGTAAATAATAAAATAAACCATAAATTCATGCGGGTGTAGCCGCACGGGAACAGCTAGTGATTTTATAAAACAAAATCCGTAAATACATTAAGATTTATTCGTCCGATTAAAATGCATCTTTAAGCTTATTTACATTTTTAAATAATACTGTGTGTTATCACCAATTCTTAATACAAAGTGCAAATGTCCACTTAAAAGTAAATTTGAATAATCTACATTATTATCTACGGTAGAACGAGGTAAACGAGCTGTCGGCCAAATACTGAAACGCTCGCAATCTGATAGCCGTCATTTGAAAGGAATTTGTAGATTAAGAGGGGTCTAATAATGGTAATCTATACTAATATTATAAAGAGGAAGGTTTTTTTTTTGTATGTATAGAAATAACTCAAAAACTACTGGGACAATTTTAAAAATTCTTTCACCATCAGAAAGGTAATTTATCTGTAACATAGACTATATTTTATTATTACATATGTTTAGGAACTTTGTTACTTACAGATAAATTACCTTTCTGTGAAAGAATTTTTAAAATCGTCCCAGTAGTTTTTGAGTTATTTAAATACATACAAATCTTTCCTTTAAGTACAGATTAGTAAAAACGTCGAAATAGTGAAACCGCAGCTGCAGATGCCATTATAAATGATGAAGGATTCAAATAAGTCCCACCGCTGATTTTACAAGAGTTCTCTGTATTATTGAAATGAATGAACGGCGCGTCTTGTAGACTGTAGTTAGCGACTGCTCGGTCCAGTTTGAAAGCGTCGTCGTCTTTCGTATGTGGTGTTCTGGTAAGCTTCCATAGTTCATCTGGAATACAATAGTGGTAATGAGTAAAACAATCTCTGCAACTCTCTAAAATAATGAGAATTACTCAAGTTTATTTATAAGTTAAATAACATAAATCTATACATATAATAAAATCGGTGTGTCTGTAATATCAAAAGAAAATTCCAGATTTCAGGAACATGATGTAATTGCGTTGTTGATAACGAAAATCGCATTAAAAAAAATTGTCTGTCTGTCTGTCTGCAAGCCGCGTTTGTTCCTGATAATCTCCGAAACGGCTGGACCAATTTCGACCAGACTTTCGCTGAATGTAGCTGACATAGAAGAGCATATTATAGGTAACGTAAACCGCACACCAATAAAGTTAATTTATTGCGGAGTCCCTTACTGTATGTCAATAACGCTAAGTTAAGGTTATCATTTAACTAATCTCTGATATTAAAAATAAATGACAAATGGCTGTTCGTTGGCTAATGTTTTTTTCGAGTTTAAATATCACATTTTAATTTCAAATTCTGGCTAATTTAAGAAAACAAATTATGGTTTTTGATTTTTTTTTCTTAAAAATAAATGGCTATGTTAAAAACAGGTTAAATTAAACCGATTAAATAGCGTCCATTTATCAAATTGATATATGGGTGTGTGCGAATTTGTTTTGCAAACTTCGAAATCTTACTAATATTATAAATGCGAAAGTTTAGATGGATGGATGTTTGTTAGCGTTTGGAGCCTAAACGGCTGAACAAACCTCCATGAAATTTGGCACAGGTTTAGAATATAGTCTGGAAGAACACATAGGCTACTTTTTATCCCGGGAATAGGTACGGTTCCCGTTCATTAATTTAGTTTTTTAATGTTTACTCGATCATTCTGTAACGGTTCAACATATTTTATTGAAATTTGGCAGATATAACACAAAGTTTGGAGTACACATGGGATAAGCTTCATATCCGAGAAATGTCCAGTTCCCGAGGTATACGTTGCTTTTTGTAATTTATATAGTTCGTATGTTTTCTAACACCACGCGGACGAGGTCGCGGGCAACAGCTCGTGGCTTATAAATTAAGTTTTCTTTAAATATAACTAGATGTCGCTAGTAGTCGATACAGCGCTAATTTAATGTTTTGATTTCTGTAACTATGTCTTGAATAGTAAATAATAAAATTAATTTGTGCTTTGTTTATTAAATGGAACGTTTAGAACAGTTTTTTTAACTATCGCAGTACTGTTGTGCGATTGTTTGTTTCGCAGCAAATTCAACTGTTCAGTCACAACTAAAAATGTAATGTGTGCACTTCCATATAAGCTCATAAGACTAATGTGCGACTAAACAGTTGTGCGATAGTTTAATCAAACTGTACGCTCTCTTAGTATCAACGATCGATTATCGGCATCTTATAAAAAAGTATTTTTACACGATTAAGTTATTTTTATACGTAATAAAGGTTTAGCCTTGTTTGCGAATTGTTATGAATATATTAATGTTTTCTTTTTTAATGTAAATAACACGAAATGCTATTTATATCGCTAACTGGTTACTGTGAGGTCAACCTTTCCATTTTAAGATTATTTTTAAATCTGATAATATAGAATGCGGTTTTTTAAATATTATCGCAAACATCAAGTAGATAATTAATAGAAGTAGATTTTTATAGCATACTAGCTTTCGCCCGCGACTCCATCAGCGTAGAATAAAAAAATTAACTAGCTTATGTGGTCTTCCAGATTATCCTCTATATCTATACCAAATATCATCGAAATCCGTTCAGCCGTTTTGGCTACAAACTCTAACAAGCATACATCCATCTTAACTTTCGCATTTATAATAGTATAGTAATTAGTATGAAGTAAACGAGCAGCCACCTAAACAAGAAACAGCGATGACAATGCTACCCGTAGATATGCGCATTTGCAGATTCGTTGACTACATTTATTCAAGACTTATGCACCAATTTTTCCTCTTCCTATGTATCTCTTTCTCTGACAAATCCACTTCCCCTTTTCCATAGTATAGGATAGAAAAAGAAGACTAAAATATGGCTTTTGGCACACATACTTATCAAACAAAACCCGATATTATCTAAACTAGCTTTCGCCGCAACTTCGTCCCCGTGATTTTAGAAAAAACAAAAGTAAGTATCCTGTGTTCTTCCATACTATCATCTACGTCTATGCTAATTTGCATCGAGAAACGTTCCGTAGTTTAGTCTAAAAACTAATAAACAACCATCCATATATACTTTCGCATTTATAATATTAGCAAGATTAGTCATCATCACCAGCTCACTATACGTCCCCACCGAGGAGCTCGGAGCCTACCCTAAGTAAGGGGTGACTAGGCCATAGTCAACCACGCTGGCCAAGTGCGGGTTGGTTGACTTCACACATATCTTTGAATTTCTTCGCCGATATGTGCAGGTTGCATCACGATGTTTTCCTTCACCGTAAGAACGTCGGGTAAATTATGTACATATGAAAATTCGAAAAAACAAAAATCACATTGGTACATGGCGGGATTCGAACCCAAGACCTGTAGATTACAAGTCAAACCACTGAGCCACCCGCTCTCCATTAGCAAGATTAGTAAGGTTGTGCTAATTTCAATAGAATAAGTTGTGAGTCACTCGTCATAGACTGCAGTTATATCGCTCTTAATTAAGGGGTATATTTAGTGTAGACTTATAATGAGAACGACATTTGATAGCTTTAATTGGGTGTTTCTTAGACATTTAGCGTACTTTTCAATCTTCTAGAAATACAACTAGTGAAAATATTTGTCCTATTGGGCCGATTGCTCTATACGACACTCGGAAAAACAAATTCACAAGCGAGCATTTAACAGCTTTTAGTTAGTCCTTACTCTTGGGTTTTTTTAGCGGAAATTGACTGTTAAAATCATTTATTTAGGGCCTGTTCCACCACTTTCTTTTAGAGGTTCGGATAACTTGAACATGACGCCACTGTCAAGATGGGGAACAAAAACCAAGATTTCCATAACATATTTTACACGTTGGATTTGTCGTAAAATTTGGTGGAACAGGCCCTTAGTAAACAGGAAATTAAAATAGCAGCTCTTTTGTAGTTAGTAAAAGTTTCCTTCTATACTTGAATAATGTTTTATCAATGTTATAGGAAATGTAATTAAAAAAACAACAATTTTCTGCATCAATGACGGTCAGAAGCAATGAAACGTGACATCAATTGAACTGCGTACTTGATATCGGAACAAATTCCGATGAATCTCTGTACGATAATATTGCTATCCTTTTCATCATCTTTGTGTAAAAGTGAGACAGCAATACAAGTGTTGAAATTCACAGTTATATAATCAATTGTTTATCGAATAAAAGGGAAGTTAAAAGACAAGGTTAGTTCCTACTATGTTCCGCTATTGAGGTTTATGGAAACATTTATTTATGTTTTTTTGTTTGTTTTTATATTAGGAGACATCGAATTGTTGTTCATAGATGTAATATTTTCAACAAATTTTTGTTTATTTTAAGTACTGTAATAGACCATTTCTATCAACTTTTAAATATCTTAGGATGTTATCTTATTATGTCACCGTATAAAACCGAACTCCGGTAAACATAACTCCGAGAAATTATGTGATTTTCTGAGGTTTTCTGGTTAGTTTTAGTGTTGACCGAAGTTCGTAATTTTACCGTAACATAACTTTTTAAAAAACTTCCGCACCGATATTACTTTATGTTATCTATGAGCTTTGAAAAAAGTTTCTAGCTTTGCTTAAAAAAAAAACTTAATTTACGTTCACAGACCTTGAAGAGACAATTTTTTTTCAATCATTCGATTCACTTGATTATACATTCTGACAGTCGTTATATAATAAAATTTTGAGTTTTTTTCTCTAAACCTGTATAACCTTGCACCATAATGAACAGAGACTTTTTTTCGATTTTATGGCAGTTAATAAAAAAATCGATGTCTCTAGATTTATATAAATTTACATTTCCGATTACCAACGTCAGGGTCAAAACATAAAACTTATGCCTGGTTTCCCAGCTACGTTTAACCATTAATTAGTGTATTTGGTTCGGTAACTTTATAAAGTGCGTTTCCGAACGACTTAACTTTTTTATTCATAAATCACTCAGCGGCTGGTATTCCGTGGTATTATAAATAATAATATAATATATTAATAAATGATGATGGCTGGTATTATTTATGTACTTTATTATTTACGAGCTGTTGCCCGCAACTTCGTCCGCGTGGTATTAGAAAACATACGAACTATATAAATTACGAAAAGCTACGTATTCCTTTGGGAACCTGACATTTGTCGGGGATGAAGCTTATCCCATGTGTACTCCAGACTTTGCTTTATATCTGTGCCAAATTTCAATACGATATGTTGAACCGTTGCAGAATGATCGAGTAAACATTAAAAAGATAAATTAATGAATCCCACGGGAACCGTAACTATTCCCGGGATAAATAGTAGCCTATAGGTTCTTCCCGACTATGCTCTAAACCTGTGCCAAATTTCATGGAGATCCGTTCAGCCGTTTAGGCTACAAACGCTAACAAACATCCATCCATCCATCCATCCATCTATCTATCCATCCATCCATCTAAACTTTCGCATTTATAATATTAGTAAGAAGTATGTTATATTATTATATAAGTATGTATATAAAAATATATTTGTTTTATTTTATCTATACTATTATAATAACGTCACGCTTTAGGCTATATATTTTCAATTAAACTTAAGGGTAAATATTTTGGATAAAAACCCTAATCTGGGAAAGAGACCATAAGTTGCTGCCAACATCAAGAAAGCAAGGTTGTCATCAAGTCTTGTCATTTTGACATTTGTAGTTGATAATTTGACAAATGTAGACAATAAAATAAAATTTTCATAATTCTACGCGGATGAAGTCGCACGGGAACAGCTAGTTTATATATAAAAGCCAGCCAGACGGAGACAAAATAACTTTCAAAAAGAGATAAATGATGCTGCTTATATTTCAATTTACACAAAGTTGTGTTTTATACAATAAGAACATAATATGTTTAAAGTCAGATCCGATTCAACCAGAGACATTAAAGTAATCTATAGAGTAGACATAGTAAACTGTATTTTTTCATCGGCAACTTCCTTGAAAGGTACTACGTCTGTTGTCAAGCTTAGCTCCCCTCTTCATGTGTTATTGACATGCTACAAAACGTTTTACAAAATTATAAGCTTCTCTTTGGTTATAAAATAAATTGAACTTAAGTTTTACTCTATTCAAATACAGTTCAACCTAACACTAATTAATCAATGGGTAATGACAACATAAATGAAAACTTTAGAAACCCAGCATTAAACAGTTTCAAATTCAAGTTCGAATCCCGCCATTTGAATATGTCGTAAAAATCCTAACACAAGCCTAGAGCTTAATTGGAATGGTAACAGAAATATTAGTAAACTAGCGTTCGCCCGCGACTCCATCATCATCATCATCATCACCAGCACACTATGTGTCCCCACCGAGGGGCTCGGAGCCTACCCTTTGGGTGACTAGGCCATAGTCAACCACGCTGGCCCAATGCGGGTTGATTGATTTCACACCATCTTTGAATTTCTTCGCCGATATGTGCATGTTGCATCACGATGTTTTCCTTCACCTTAAGAACGTCGGGTAAATTATGTTCATATAAAAATTCGAAATATCGAAAATCACATTGGTACAGCGGGATTCGAACCCAAGACCTATAGATTACAAGTCAAGTGCTTAAACCACTGAGCCACCCACGCTCTAACTGCTGCGACTCCGTCCGTGTGAAATTAAAAGGGTGGCCTATGTGTTCTACTGTCCTCTACATCAATACCAAATTTCATCGAAATCCGTTAAGCCGTTTAGGCTACAAACTCTAACAAACATCCATCCATCTAAACTTTCGCATTTATATTAGTATGAAGTATGATAGTATGATTCGCAAAAAATCTATAGATATTTAAAAAAAATATACTTCAACTTCAACATGTCCACTTACATGTACTGCTCATGCCATCATCGTTGTTGTAGCAGGCAAATAATACAGCATAATGTTCATACTCCACATCCAGGAATGAGTAAATTTCTGTTCTCTGATCTGCAAATACAATAAACAATTAAAAAACAGCCTAAGATAGGAAATGAATATATTAGAGGAAGTTTGAGAGTAGCCCCAGTAGAGAAAGGAGTAAAAGGTTAGTATGGGCATGTTATGAGTAGGGATCGCATGTAACTAGAAGTACGTTAGTTATGAGTGTGGTACACCGGAAGGTTGACCTAGAAAGAGATGGATGTATTGCATGAAAGATGACATAATCAAGCAGGGAGTGATGACTGAGATGACGGATGATAGAGTTTTGGAGGACGAAAACCCGGTGCTCGGTGCACTACGGGACTAGGGTAGGGGAGATGATGAATTAAAAACAATTGACTGTAATTATTACATCATACCAATCAATAATGCACCAGCGTAGGCCTTAGCCTACTAAGCCTACTAGCTACTAGCCTAAATAAGAAACCTGCATCAAACCTTAGTTTGATGCAGGTTTCTTATTTACTTAAAACTATTATTAAGAACGTCATTCAATTTTAGTTCCTTTCCCTTTCCACCCTTTTCCTGAGTGGAAATGATGGAAAGAAGAAGTGGATTTGACGGTAGAGGAGATGCATAGGAAGGGGAAATGTCCTCTTTATATGTGTCTCCTCCGTCAATTACGGATAGGCAACGCATCTGCAATTGCAAATGTTTATGGGCAGCGGTCGCTTTTCATTTCGGTGATTTCAGGTGGCCGCTTGCTCGTTTGCCACCTTATCTTATATAAAAAAGTGATTAAGTCGTTACTAACCGATCCTTTAGTAGCTTTTAGCTTTGTAGCTTTAGTACATGGGTAAAGCAAACATTTAAGAACTGAAATACGAGTAAAATTAACTGACTACTTATTTCAGGTTTTTTGGAAATCAATTCCCCAAACAGATGACGTCACAGGCGCCAGCAAGTGTGAATGTCTTATCTATCTGATGAATATTAAAATATTCAAATACAGCTTTTGAAAAATCCAAAATAAAAATTTATTAGTTGGCTAAATAAATTATAGCTTTAAATTTGCAAATTGAATTTTTATTTACTTTATCAAAAAAATATACTAGTTTTACGATAAAAAAAACAAGTCTAGAATAGGCCAGTTATTTTCAAATGATTATCTATAATACTATTTTAAAAAGAAAAGATTTGCATTATTTATGTATTGAGATAGCCTTAAAACTACTAGGTCGAGTTTAAAAATTCTTTCACCGTTAGAAAGGTAATTTATCTGTGAGTAATATAGGTTATATTTTTATTAATTTTATGCAGGCAAAGTCGCGAACAACAGTTAGTTGTTTATATATATCTTTGGATTTTACTTTTCTTGGTCAATTTACAAAACATATAACAAAACTTAAGGGGGTAAATAAAATGGAAAAAACCTTCATGTGGGAAAGGAATCATAAACTACGTGCTGCCAACATTAAGAAAGGTTATTATGGTAACGGTAATTTTGAAATTTGCAATTGAGAATTTGACAAATGTAAACAATAAAATGAAGTTTTTATAATTTCATGCGGATGAAGCCGCACGGGTACAGCTCGGTATTTATAATATAAACTTGTTGTTCCCGTGCGACTTCATCTCCATAAAATTATGAAAATGTTATTTTATTGTTAATATGTTTCAAGTTATCAATTGCAAATGTCAAAATGACATGACATGACAAACCTTGGCAATCTTGCTTCCTTGATGTTGGCAGCAACTTATGGTCTCTTTCCCACATTAGGGTTTTTATCCAAAATATTTACCCCATAAGTTTAATGGCGTGAAAATATATAGTCTGAAGCGTGACGTAAGTGTAGGGCTTCTTATTAAAAAAATAATTATTGAAAAATATGCTGTCATTGCTGACATCTTAGGCAACAAAGAAGTGTATGTTTACGCTTTATTATAATAGTATAGAGTATAGATTACCTGTATAAGTAACCATTAACAAATCCCCAGTTGTATTACTATCAACGGTAAGTTCAACAGAACCGTTGTAATAAGTAATGGTGTTGTTGGAAATCCAACTGATTGAGTCATTCGTGGTGTTGTCACTCTTGTGGTTGAATAACACCATAGCACAATCTCCTTGGATCTCCATATCACTGACCACAGCGGCTATATACCATTTACCATCCAACTGAAAAAAAAAAAAGATAAGACAAAAATGTTAGTTAACATTGTAATATCAAAAAAAAAATCCAGATTTCGGCAAGATGTATTTGTGTTGCTGATAACGAAAATTGCATTAAAAATTTATTATCTGCCTGTCTGTCTACAAGCCGCATTTGTTCCGCGTAATCTACGAAACGGCTGGGCCGATTTCGGCCGTACTTTCACTGAAGGGTAGCTGACAGGCGGGCATATTATAGGATATTTTTTTATCTTAATATTGCGTAGACGGAGTCGCGGGCAACAGCTAATTTACCATACAAATGTTTTGAATCTATCCAGCAGTACAGATCGTTAATAATTATTAACAAAACTATATTAAAACTGGAGTATTGTACGTTGTAATGAAAAAAAAAATTGCATATATGATGCATTCTTTGCTGTAAACGAAAATTTACGTTCGGTCGCAAGGTCTCAATTGTTTCAGATAATCACCAAAATTACTAGACTGATTTGGACGGGATTTTTACTGAAAGATAGCTGATATTTCGGGAGTAAAATAGGCTACTTTTTTATAATACTGGAAAAGTCTCGGTTAATCAATACTTATAGCTGTAATCTTTTTTCTTTTCACAAATGTAGGGGATTCTTTAAAGGTTTCCACCGATTTTCACTTGTTATATCGTCTTACGTTGTCATGGCAACCGATTGTAATTGAAGGTGTGGACTGCCGTGGCAGTTACATTAACAAGTATTCTCGTCTCTGTTTTTTAAAGGATAAATTAAGAGATGAATATACTGGTTACTTTATTCTTAAACCGATAGTAAGCCGGAATGTTGAATTCTTTGTGCAATTAAAGGGTCTATTAACAATGAAGGAAATAGATTAAGAGTAAATATCCACATTATGAATAGATTTATTTTTTACTAAGCTTATCAGAGACCAATAGAGACTGATCTTATCTTACTAATTTGAAAAGACGTCAGTATATATTATAAAAATATTTTTTATAAGTTTGACGTCAACGTTTTTAAGTTAGATATTTTCATCATTAATTGGGACAATAATTATCAAAGATATGCATAAATAATTTGAAAAACTACATCAATAAAAAATGTTAAAGTGCAGCTATGACGCAAATATGTTTGTAATAATAATTCACGTATTTTCCGATTTTTCAAAATAAATTGCGGGTATTTGAATATATAAACGTTAGAGATTTAATTTATGAATGAATGCTTTTTGATTTAGCATTTTTATTCCATGAATTATGATTCAATTTGTGAAAAATATTGATGTTTGAGTAACCTTTAAACATTGGTACGTCAAAAAAGAAGTATTTCGATACAAATAACTTAATTACTTACTTCTTTCAAATCCAATTCTCTCGGTGTAACAAATGGGCATGTTCCGTTTAACACTGCACTATTTACGAATGAAAAAGTCAACATAATGCCTAAACAATAAAACATTTTGCTATGACGAGAAGCGGGGCTTCCACTGATGTCACAAATCAACTGCAAAGTAACGGTAGACGTGACCTCTTTTATACTTTATACCTTTTTTATAACAGTTAAAAACTAATTATTCGTATTCCGTGTTAAAAAGTTTAAAGTTTTAATCGTTAACTACACCATGACTTGAAACGTTCGATAAAAATTTCAAGCAATTTAACAAGAGAAGTTATACCATTTATATATTTAACACAAAGTAAGCTGTAAACTATAATATTCTATACTAGCTGTTCCTGTGCGACTTCATTCGCATGAAATTATAAAAATCGTTTTATTGATTACATTTGTCAAATTCAATTGCAAATGTCAAAATGACATGACATAATGACAAAGCATGGCAATTTTGCTTCCTTGATGTTGGCAGCAACTTATGGTCTCTTTCCCATATTAGGGTTTTTATCTAAAATATTTATCCCCCAAGTTTAATGGCGTAGAAATATATAGCCTAAAGTGTGACGTAAGTGTAGGGCTTCTTATTAAAAAATATTCAAAAATATGCTGTAATTGATGACATCTTAGGCAACAAGGAAGTGTGTGTTTACGCTTTATTATAATAGTATAGATAGATGAAGTAAATTATTTAGTTAAATATTTTGTTTAAAATGACCAGACCCTGTAGACAAAGTGACTTTCGATTAGCGATGTCGCTTGTAGAATCGATAAAATCGAAAAAACACACGGGAATGAATACGTGAGAAGCACGTGATTTATATAATTTTCTTGTCAGTTCCATAGATTTTTTACTTTTAGCGATTTCAGCGATGGCGATAATTAAATGTTACTTTGTCTAAGAGAGCAGTGTATATTGATTTTCAAAATTATCGAAGAGAAGACAGGCGTGAAGTGGGAGCAATTCCGCGTTTTGACCGATGAGTCCGGAGGCCCAACTTTAGTAGAAAGGCTGGGAAGGGAACGTGGATTTGACGGTAGAACGATTAAGGGTAGGCAACGCATCCGCTATTGCGAATGTCTGTGGGCAGCGGTCGCTTCGCCAGTTTGGCGGATTTTGGTGGCTGCTTGCTCGTTTGCCACCTAATATTATAAAAAAAACTTATGTAAAATTAGAAAGACCATAATAAATAACAAAGAATGAGGGTCATTAAATATAAAAATATGAAATTTCCAGGATATGCTTTAGACTATATATTTTCACGCTATCAAACTTAGGGGATGAATAAATTAGAAAAAACCTTCATGTGGGATAGAGACCATATAGTACAAGCTGCCAACATCAAGATAGCAAGTCATTTTGACATCTGCAATTGATAATTTGACATATGTTAACAATAAAATAAAATTTGCATAATTTCATGCGGATGAAGCCGCACGGGAACAGCTAGTATATCAATACAGCCCAAACTTGACTTGAAATTGTAGCCAGTTGTAACTAAGTGGTTTAACAGTAAGATTTTTCTAAATTCACCACCTACAAGGCTAGAGTTATTTATATTTCACCCTCAGCACAATTACGTTGATATTACCAATAAAAAAATTAAATGCAAATAACTGAAAATTCCTCTGCCCTCACTTATATTATAAACGCGAAAGTTGAAATGATATCGATGAAAATTGACATAGATGTAAAGAACAATCAGGAAGAACACATACTTTAGTTTTTTAAACCCCGTGCGATCGGAGCAGGCGAAATCTAGTTATACATAATTGTGAAAATACGCTACCCAGAACCATCGCATTCCTTGGACATCAAAACATACCGCTGTACATCTAGTGAAAGTTTGAAAGATAAGATATCTATTGCAAAATACGGGGCGTCTCAATCTGAACCCGATATCACTATCAACAGATAAGGACAATCTCATCTGAATCAGATATCAGATAGTTTGACAAAATGAACGCTGTAAGATGTTCAACTTTATTGTTGTTTGTATTGGTTCATTTAAAATTAAGCATCAATCAAGTGTTATTATTCGGACCATGTGTTGAAGTGGAAACTGTTAAGTTATTTGATATTGAAAGGGTAAGATGAGTAGAATTCTTCTAGATGCATTTGACTTGACAATTTTTAAAAGTATGTGAAAATTTCCTTGTGAAAATTTAACGTTCCACTTATGGAAATATTGAGTGAGCAATTTTTCATACCTAGCGCTTGTTTTTCAGACATCTTTATAATCGTAAATTATACTAATGTTATAAATACGAAAATTAAGATGGATGGATGGATGGTTTGTTAGAGTTTGTAGCCTAAACTGCTGAACGGATTTCGATGAAATTTGCTAAAGATGTAGAGGATAGTCTGGAAGAACACAAAGGCTTTTGTAATTTTTAATTCCACGCGGACGGACACGCGGGAGAAAACTAGTGGAAAATAAAAGCGTATTTAAGGTGTTAAAAATGTTAAAGTTCTCCGTTCTGTTTTTCGACGACATAGAATATTATTTACTACTAGCTATTACCGTGCGGCTTCATCCGCGTGAAATTATATTTTATTGTTTACATTTGTCAGAGTTCTCAATCGCAAATGTCAAAAAACCTTTACCTTTATCCTTGCTTGATGTTGGCAGCTTGTAGTTTATGGTGCCGCTCCTACATGAAGCTCTTTTTTTAACTTATTTGCCTAATGGGTGTCGTAAGTGCTTTTTATTAAAGAAAGAATTATTAAAAAATATGCTGTGATTGCTGACGTCTTACGCCAAAAATTAGTGGGTATTTACTCTTTATTGCATTAGTACCAGTTTTCGCCCGCGACTCCGTCTGCGTGGAATTAAAAAAAACAAAAGTAGCCTATGCGTTCTTCCAGACTATCCTCTACGACTATGCCAAATTTCATCGAAATCCGTTTAGCCGTTTAGGCTACAAACTCTAACAGACATCCATCCATCTATTCATCCATCCATCTAAACTTTCGCATTTATAATATTAGTATGATAGAAGAATAGATAGAATGAAAAATATTTTTTTATGAAATTAAATATTCGTTTTCAGTTTTTAGGTTACTGGTACGAGATAGAAAGATTCCCAATGTGGTACGAAGGTTTCGGTCATTGTGCGTACAAAAGGTTTCAAGCATGCGGTAGAAGAATAGAAATAGAACACGGCTACGTCAGGAACGATATACATTATATACTTCACGTTAACAGTACATATGCACCAGGGAATGACGCTATATTTACATTTAAAAAGAGTAACATAGGTACGTAATACTTATTTACCCAGATCGTTCGCAAGCATGAACCAAAACGAACGTTTAGTCTCGTTTTGATTCCTATGATCTTATATGGAGGTGCGCACACTACTCGATTTTGTGAAACTAAACAGTTTATTTGGCTGCGAAACAATCGCATATATGCGATAATTGAGTCAAAGGTGTGCGTCTCTTAATATCTCCATGTATGTGTACTTTTGTGACGTGTACATTATCAAAAACGAATTAAAGACGGCATAACTTATGATCTTGACGGCATTTCTTACACCATTAAAAAGCTACGTTATCAGTGAGTAACATAGGCTACATTTTTATATTTTAATATCACGCAGACAAAGTCGCAGGCGAAAGTTAGTCTAAAATATTTCTATTTTAAAGAACTTTTGTCAATGCTTTATTACTTTTTTAGTAAAGAATAATATAAATTCTGATACAAAAAAACATTTTCAATGTATTTTACTTAAGAATACAAGAAACCTGATGTCCTAAGAATACTCTTTGCTAATTTCAGATCCCCTGAGCATACCGATGTCAATAATAGCAACGGACTATACAAACTACGCAGTGGCGTATGGATGCAAAAATAATGAGACACTTGATATCAAATACAGTAAGTATTCAAGATATATTTTAAATCTTTTGCAAATAAATGCAATACAAAAGATTTGCATAGTAGAAATAATGAAGAATTATCAACAGGATAGTGACGTTATAATGTTACATGGAGAAATACGTAGTTAGAAGTCAATTTCTTCTATTTTTAAATACTTAATACTACAGTTCGGAGATGTAGCCTTTAAAATATCTAGACACTTGCTATTCATCATCATCATCTCACTGTATGTTCACATCGAGAGGCTCGGAGCCTACCCTGAGGGGTGACTAGGCCATAGTCAACCACGCTGGCCCAGTGCGGGTTGGTTGACTTCACACATATCTTTGAATTTCTTCGCCGATATGTTTTTTTTTATAACATAAGATGGCAAACGAGCAAGCGGCCACCTGAATCCGCCAGAATGGCGAAGCGACCGCTGCCCATAGACATCTGCAATTGCAGATGCGTCGCCTACCCTTATCCGACGGAGGAGGACACGCACATAAAGAGGATATTTCCTCTTCCTATGCATCTCCTCCATCGACAAATCCACTTCCCCTTCCCATCCTCTCATAAGAAAAGGGTGGTAAAGAGAAAGGGACTTAAATTAGGCCTCCGGCACCACACTCATCAGACGAAACACGGTATTGGTTCCATTTCACGTCTGTCTTCTGTGTGGTCGTGGTATTACACCGGGCGTGCCGGCCCATTCGTGCTAAGATGTTAAAGCGGGCACTACCACTGTGCAGGTTGCATCACGATATTTTCCTTCACCATAAGAACGTCGGGTAAATTATGTACGTATGAAAATTTGAAAAATCGAAAATCACATTGGTACGTGGCGGGATTCGAACCTAAGACCTGCAGATTACAAGTCAAGTTCTAAAACACTGAGCCACCGAGGCTCTGCTATTGATATTCATAGCAAATAATTAGCATTGAACTCAGTTATTTAACATTATCGTTGTATAATGTCCTATCCATTTCTTTCTACTTCTAACTAATTGCATATTTTCTTTACTTCCATATAATAGATAAAACATCAGTTTCAGCTTGGATATTATCAAGAGAAAATGTTCTATCACCTGAAATTCTGGAGACGGCGTATCGAGAGATAAATAAAATACCATACGCTAGTACAGTTTATTTAGAAACGGTGCATCAAAATGAAGAAAAATGTGAACACCATTGGACTGCCCACGTACATGCAGAAGAAGTTATTGAAGAAGACGATGAATTGTGACTAATAAATAACTCATAAGCTAACAAATGACAATTTTTAGTTTAATAATTTAGTCACATCCACGACATCAATACCTCAAGACTGTAACCCAAAGGGGTCGGTACAGATTACGGAATCATATTTGGTCAGAGAACTAAGCATAAACCAATCAGATAGCTTAACAAATCAGCTATTTTGTACATAAACAATAATAATCAGAAAAATAACAAGAAGTAAAAGAAAGTTTGTTCAAACTCTTTACTAATAATTTATATTGGAACAGAGTATCTGAAAGTCCTAGGCTCGGTGATCTGTGATTCGTAATATTTGGGTGAACATTTCGACCAAGTTTCCTTTACCAAGTCATTCTGGTTGATACCAAGTTGTTTCAGAGGTTTTAGAGCCAAGTCCTTAGATACGTCATTTAGCGTCGGATTACGGGACAGGATCCATACATAAACTGAAAGAGAATTTTAATACTGTGACTGCAGTCAGAGTGGATAAGTTTATCCTAGAGCGGGCGCATATCTTTGACTAAACTATCGCACAATAGTTTTGCGATTGTCGATTGTTTCGCAGCCAAATCAACTGTTTAGTTGCACAACTAGAAATAAGAATCAAAGGGAGAATTAACAGGTGTGTGATAGTTTATTCAAAGGTTTACGAGTGCTCTTAGAGGAGATTTGATGTGATTAACCTGTCTCTAGGGACCACTTAAATTGAAATTTGCTACTTACTGAAATGTTTGTTTATCAGAGGACTATACTGACAGGTATATACAGTCGCATAATATTTGTAGTTAGTTGCCAGAACTTGGTATGGGTATCTTCTTACTTTCACTGAAATAAAAAAAAACTATAAAGTTTCTTTTTTATATCAAAAGGTGACAAAGCAATTGGCTACCTGTATTTAGGACAATAACTTTAACTATTCTATAATTCACTTACATCTTCGAGGTGCATTTTCAAATGTGAAACTTAATTCAAAATTAGATGAAACTCCATTCTTGGGTGTAACAAGCTTCAGTTGGCCGATACTTTGTCGGTGGAAAAGACCAAGATCTACCCTTGAAATATTAACGTAAATCCCAGTCGGTTTATACAATAATTCCACCGTCGAACAATTGCTTAGAAGTTGACCATCACTAGAATAATGGTAGGCCTGGTACCAGGTTTTATCGAACTGAAAACACAAAGTTCATTAAAGAAAATATTATATACGAGCTGTTGCCCGCGACTTCGTCCGCGTGGTATTAGAAAACATACGAACTATATAAAATTACAAAAAGCTACGTATCCCTCGGGAATCGGACATTTCTCCGGGATGAAGCTTATCCCACGTGTACTTCAGACTTTTTTTATATATGTGCCAAATTTCAATAAGATATGTTGAACCGTTGCAGAATGATCGAGTAAACATTAAAAAATTAAATTAATGAATCCCACGGGAACCGTAACTATTCCCGGGATAAAAGGTAGCCTATGTGTTCTTCCAGACTATGTTCTAAACCTGTGCCAAATTTCATGGAGATCCGTTCAGCCGTTTAGGCTACAAACGCTAACAAACATCCCTCCATCCATCCATCTAAACTTTCGCATTTATAATATTAGTAAGAAGTAAGATCTACAAACCACAGAGTTAATAGAAAAATAGACATGAAAATTGTTTCTACAAACCTGTTCTAGGATAAAATTATCTTGTAATTCGACATTCTCAGGACATCTTCCTGGTAATGTAAAATAACTATACACGCACTCAAAACAAATTAAAAATACAATAGCTTTAACTGTTTTCATTTTGATGGATGTGTTCTTTTCACTGGCTTCGGTAACATAATCTGACAGAATATGAGGTTTGTTATTGATATTATAGTTAAAGGTTATCTTATTGTTTATTTTATGTTATATCAATTCCAGTGAATAACTATAGATACTGCTAAATATAGTTTTAGTAGGGAAAATAATAACTAGACTAATGTACACGTGGAACTGTATTTTTAGTTATATGTACTGTATCATTATCGTCTCCTAGACGGTACTACACGTACTGTGACTACATACACCTACATTTTCATTTATAGCATTTTGATTCTAGTTGAAGCTACAAATGGGAAGTTGTTACCAGTTTTCTAATTTCTTTGTTAAAATCTTACCTTAAATAAAATCAGAAATATACAAACCATTACATTTCAAAGGATGTTTTTAAACGTCACCCTACATATATCAATTCAAAGACCAATTTCAACGTAAATCGTCTTTACGAGCAGACTGGGGTCATATCATTGGATAATTATCGCGTGGGATGCGACCCAATCATCATTCTATACGACAATCTCGTACTGAGCACTTGTTTTTTATAGTAACAACAATGCTATTATTACTGTTTTGTCTGTATTTGATAAGTTCAGTGTTGACCGCTGAATTTACTTTACCAGGAGAATGTCCAAATGTCAAGTTACAGGAGAATTTAGATTACACTAAAGTAAGTCTTCTCATATCGTTTACTTCTTTATAAATACTTATTCTTCTTGCTTCGAGAAGTCTTTTTGGGAGTATCTTGGGAAATTTGATCAAACATTTATGTGAAAGGTAAGGTAAGGTACAATCTTGTGGTATCTTATTAGGAATTTGGATCTATCTAGTTCCTTCTTCTATACTTGGTTGTCATCATATAGGGATCCGCATTATTGTCCTCACCATTTATATTATCATCCTCGGCATATGTTTGTCAAATGCTGGCCAATTGGACCAATCAAGCAACCGTGTATTTTCCTATAGTTTTCAGGTCTTTGGTACAACGTGGCGAGTTATGCAAGCGATGGTCGACCAATTTACGACTGCGCCACTTTAGATTTCCAAGAGGACAATCTCGGGTATACTCTTAGGGAGAAATATGTTGATCTGGACCAAGGCAACCGCACTCAGAAGTCATATTTCGCTCGGGTTGATCCAACATTTGACGCTGGTAATAAAGCGCAATTCATCGTTAGCCATGAAGATGGAGGTATGATACATGAAATTAAAGAATTACCTTTTAAAAGTAACAGTGGTAAAGCCCGCTTTAACATCTTCGCACGAATGGGCCGGTATGCCCGATGGAGTACCATGACCACACAGAAGAGAGGCGTGAAGTGGAAGCAATTCCGCGTTCCGTCTGGTGAGTGTGAAGCTGATGACCTAATTTTAGTCCCTTTCCTTTCCCACCGTTCTCTTATACGGAATAGATGGGAAGGGAAAGTGGATCTGACGGTATAGGAGACTGATAGTAAGGGGAAATATCCCGCATATATGCGTCTCCTGCTCTGATCTTTAAGGGCAGGCAACGCATATACAATTGCGGTTTGCCACCTTTTTAAATTAGTAAAAAAAAACTAACTGGACATTTTCATTTCAGATAAAGTTCTACAGTTTCCATTCTTCATTCTATCGACGGATTACGATGGATACGCTATTGCTTACACTTGCAAGACATTGAAAAAGAAGCAACGTACACATTACGGTATTTATGGTCACCTATTTATGGTCAAATACCATGGAACTGTGATACCACAAACACCATGGAACTATGGATCAATGATGCCTGAACATAGAGATGCTCAAAGAAAACTAATTACTAGTAACTATTACTACAAAAACTGATTTAAAAATGTAATCTTGTTTTAAACTAATTAGATAAAAGCATTAACCCAAAATGGACTCTGGCCTTCTTGTAATAAGAGCTAACAACTCTGACCATCTCTAGTCTAAGCTTTATAACTTCCGCAGTTCCCTCTTTAACGGTTTTAATAATCTATTTCTGTTTTTAGTATTCACTTGGGTTTTGGCCCGAAGCAAGGACAAACTTCAAGGAGACGTTCTGAAGAAAGTAGAGGATTCCCTTTCAAAATACTCGGAGCTCGCTGAACACAGACAGTCCTTCGTGCTCAAAGAATTCTCAGAACAAAATTGCGCCTATACTAGCAAATTCGAAACAGATTTCTTTACAAGCAATTTTTGGTAGATTACGTGAATATTGTTTCTTGTTCGTATATTTCATCAAACAAATGTTTATTTGTATGTACATTTTAATAAGAATAAGAAAGTATTAACATTATAATCATTGTTGATTCTATATCTTTTTTTTTGTAATATGAAATACTACCTATTGCCCGCGACTTCGTCTGCACATTATTAAAGACATACGAATAACAAAAAAAATCATTAATTCCTCGGAAACCTTTGTTTAATATGTGTGGTAAATTTCAATAAGAAATGTTGAGCTGTTGCAATTGTCGAGTAAACATAAAAACAAAATTAACTAATGTATTTATATGTATAGCCTATGTGTTCTTTCCTACTATCGTCTACATCCATGCCAAATTTCATCGAGATCTGTTCTGACGTTTAGGCCTCAAACTCAAACATCCATCTATTCAAATTTTTACTTTTATAAGTAAGGAATAAGAAGTAAAATTAGGCTCCCACTAACATATTTATATTTTTTTAAATGACATCTGTGGTATTTCCTTAAAAATAGTACAGTTTTACTAGACCGCGTAGTTGCTCGAGTTGTCCATAATCTGAACATAGATGGTGATAGTAGCTTCGAAATATTTCATCACTTTCGTTGAAATAAATACTGTAAAAATCGCAGTAAATATATACCTAAAAGTGAGTAGATTATGATCTGTCCCACCGAATTGTAAATTGACTGATACCAATCCAACGAGTAAAATATGTGATGGAAATATCGAATTTTGTTTCCTTATCTGACAATGACGTCATTTTTAAGCTATCTAAGTCTCTATCAGCCAGTAGCGGGACAGGCCCTAATAAGTTTTTCCAACTATCGTTTATCTAAATAAGATAGATTAGCTTCATAATTCATTTGACAATTTAGCAGCGATGGAATCTTTTCGATTATTATTATTACAGAAGTTGGAATTGATAGATTTATGAACTTATGAATTAAAAAAAATACTGTTTTCTCAAATTAATAATGACCTGCAGAACTATTACAAATAAAGAAAAAGTAAATATTTATTACTACTACAGCCGTACGTAATGGAATTGTATTTCGCTATTATTATTGACATCGCTATATTCTGTACATTATAATCAATACTAGAATTGTCCTCTAAATTTAGTTAAGTTCGATAAATGTTATTTAAACCGAATATCGATAGTTCATAATTGTTCCCTGCGTGTTTGTTTCGTCACTACGATACATGTCTATTAAGTACGGCATTTGCTTTCATACAAATTTAATTCGATTATATGCATTATTTATGAATAGTTGATAACATTTTTAATGAAAACTGTCATTTAAATAAACCTTTCAGCCTTTCACAATTTAATACGATGAATTAAAATTTAATTGACGTATTTAGAACACTAGCTTTTGAAAGTTTTTGAAATAAATAATAATGTAGATTGAAACGTCGATAACAAAATTTTTAAATCATAATCGAAATTTAAACTATAAGTCTAACGACCGTACACTGAAACGACATTAAAGCATGTAATAGCTACTTAAAAACAAGGTAATCAAATCAAATAAGGAATTTTAAATACCCTGTTCTCTCTCTCTCTCTCTCTCTCTCTCTACCTTTAATGAAGATTGGGCCCCCAGCGTTATTTTGACTATTTCGCCAACGTCAAACTTGAAGGTAATTGAATACTTGACAAATGAGCAGTAGCTGATGATATCAACTGAGGCACTGTTCTGTAAACGCTTTAAAACATGACAGAAGTTTGAATTTCAAAATTACTAATTATACATAATAGATTTTAATTTATAAACAACATTTTTAATTTATTAACAAAAGGAAATGTCAAATGAAAATTAAATGTTGACAGCATCTTTTGACTAAATTTGCTTATTGTACCTCTTTGGTAGTCATTTACATATTGCAAAAATACTGGCCACTAAGAATAATGTAGTAAAAAAATTAAAGCACAAAAAAAAGTATTCTCTCTAGAGACTGGACAAAGAATAACTGTGAATAGAGTCGCATTTTGTTATTATTGTGTGTGTAAAATATCGTCAACGAAGTATACTTCGTTTTTAGTTATCTTCGTCATGCAATAAAAAAGCAAAATACTATAGTTTTCAATATAATAATACACTACATAGAAATAGATTTGTTTCTTATTCAGATTACCACTAATAAGATAATATCCACTTAACATAATTATTTGAAAGATATGTATATTAATGATTAACATAAATGCAAATGCCTTTAAACATCTCAAATTGGCAAAACTGCAAAAAGCTTTTAATTTTTTGCATTCAAATAGAGCTAGAGAAAATCCAAATGTTTTAGCATTAATAGAATCTAAAATATTTTGTATTTTTTAAATAAGATTTATTATTTAATACCAACCAATATCCTCTTTACAATTTTAATCTTTGAATTTTACTCCTCAATAGTCGATATTGAACCATCAAAGCAATTTTGGACTTGTTTTTAAATTTATGGAGACTTAAAAGCTGTAATAGACAAGATTTTTATATCATGTGGGAAACGAGCTTGCAATCATAACCTAAACATACATAATATTCTGGTATTAGAATTGCAGTAATAGTTAAAGTCATAAAATATGTGAATAAAATAATCCTGTAGTGAAATGGATTTGTTTGTTTTGATTAGCGTGCCCTTTGACTTGAAGGTAATCGGGCTGTCATGGTCCGAGATACAACGCAGAGCCCAAAACAGAGCGAGCTGGCGGCGTACTGTGGACGCACTCTGCCCCACTTTGGGGACATAGGAATAGAAAAAATGCCCTTTGACTAAACTATCTCAAAACAACTGATGTTGTAAGACCGACGATTGTCGATTGTTTTGCAGTCCATTCAACTGTTATGTTGCTACTAAAAATCTAGTAGTGTGCCTCCACATAAGCACATAGAAATGTTAGCGCGACTAAACAGTTGTGCGATAGTTTAGTCAAAGGTGTGGGTTCGCTCTAAACGCTTCCGCTTTGTAATCTACCCGATTGAAAGTTGTACACGAGTATTGACAGGACCAATCTATAGACTATTGAAGCGGATGTACTCATGCTAGTAAAGTGTCGGTACTGGCCACGCTTTTATATGCTACTAAAATGTCAACGAGATCGTATAATACAAGACTTTTTTTTTAATATCATAAGGTGACAAACAAGCAAGGAGCTACCTGAATCCATCAAAAATGGAGAAGTGACCGATGCTTATAGATTTTCGCAATATCTGATGCGTTGCCTACCCTTAATCGACGGTGGAGGAAACGCACATAAAGAGGATATTTCCCCTTCCGATGCGTCTCCTCCAGGGTCAAGTCCACGTTGCCTTCCTATCTGTTTCTTATAAGAAAAAGGGCGGGAAGGAAAAGCGACTAAAGTTTGGCCTCCGGCACCACACTCATCAGACGAAACGCGGAATTGCTCCCACTTCACGTCTGTCTCTATGTGCTCGTTGTATTTCAATGGGCGAGCCGACCCATTCGTGTAAAGATGTTAAAGCGGACTCTATCACTGGGTATCAATGTTATGACCTTTTTCGTTCCCCCCTCGTACCCTCCGTCAACTTACACGTAGTCACAATATATGACGTGCTAGTTACTTGTATATCAGGTTGACGTTCACACAAGCCTGTAGCCGACATATGCATGTGTGTTCCCAGCCTTAATTTATATTATATCGTGTTTACTTGTTCAGGTCTATAAATATAAAAGAAAAAGATAACTGACTGACCACTGCCATACATACTACTGGGCCCAGTGACTTGACATTTTAAATAAAGAATTTTCCTACGTAAGCGAAGCACTAAAATAGGATTTTAAAATTTTTATATTACTTTGATTGTAATTTTGTTTTTCATAACAAAATTTGTCTTGCCAATCTTTCAATTTATATCCTACTGTAGCCTTTTATTAAGTCGTAGAATTGCTTATTCAAATAAATCAGGCAAAAAACAAAATGGCGAATTATTGCCTTAGGTTCTCATTGCTAAAACGTTTGTCTTCTATTTTATCTAAAAAAAGTTAGATTTGGGGTTTTTGTTTTGATGATTCTACAGTGGAGTCCAACTGTTAATCTTGTTATCTAATATTTAAATTTTACATTTGTACTCCTGATAATCTTTTATAATGCGACCTTTACGTTACTAGGATCTTTTATTTTGTTGTTTTAAAATACATATGCGTTTAAATCCGATTACTCAGTAAATGGACAATTTTTTTTGGTTTTTATATTTATTTAATTTTTTAGCCCAAATAAAACAACAAAGCTTAAAAAGTAATTACTAGAATTGCGCGAGGACGGCCTTATCGCTAAGAGCGATCTATTCCAGGCAACCATGTGGGATAGGAGAAGCAAGACATACACAGAAAGGTTTTTAATATATATATTTTTAATATATAACATAAACATATATAAGATATATACATTACAACTAATATAATATTAAGTAAACTTACATAGATACCATTAAAGTTAAAAAAGCAAAATAACTTAGCAGGTGACTTTTCTCAGGAGATATGTATGTATGTGCAATTGGGATAAAGATTGCCAGGGACTTTGACTCGCGAATGTCACGAGTAATCTAACTTCTAACTAATATTATAAATGCGAAAGTTTAGATGGATGGATGTTTGTTAGAGTTTGTAGCCTAAACGGCTGAGCGGATCTCCATGAAATTTGGCGCAGGTTTAGAGCATAGTCTGGAAGAACACATAGGCTACTTTTTACCCCGAGAATAGTTACGGTTCCCGTAGGATTCATTAATTTATTTTTTTAATGTTTACTTGATCATTCTGCAACGGTTCAACATATCTTATTGAAATTTGGCACAGATATAAAACAAAGTCTGGAGAACACATGAGATAAGCTTCATCCCCGAGAAGTGTCCGGTTCCCGAGGGATACGTAGCTTTTTATAATTTATATAGTTCGTATGTTTTCTAATACCACGCGGACGAAGTTGCGGGTAACAACTCGCGTGTAATAATCATAAAAATGTTTTGATGTTTTTGCATATACAAAGAGCTGGATTTACTTTACTTTACTTTCTTACATTCTAAAGGTTAAAAATAAAACATTTTATATAGATGAATTTATTTCACAGATGTCGACAACTGAACTGCGTTACATAAAAATATACATACTTTATGTGATAATATTCACAATTTAATACTAATAATAAAAGTATTATTCTACCTAAATTAAAGTTCATGCAAGAACAAACTTTTTAAATGAAGTTATACAATTAGAACTGCTAAATAAATGAAACATTTAATTGATTAACTTTATTTATTTAAGTAAAAGTAAATTGTTATAGAAGTAAAATTAATCAATTAAGTTTGGGTTGGTCTCGTAGATCTTTAAGAATTCGGTTATCTCCTCAGTAGTTCTGGCTTTGCAGGCTTCGTTCGTGTGCTCGTTTTGTACAAAGTAAGATGTGTTGATTAACTTTGAGTTTGCTGCAAGGAATTTGTCCACAGCGGCGAGCGCGTTGCCTTCCAAAACCTTGTTCCTGGATAGGATCCACGCCAATACTACAAGAACAAAAAAAATAATTACTAGTCTTTTCTTGAACAACACAAAGGAATAATGACGATGACAACTTATTCTTTTCCTTTGCTGTGGGCACGTGAAATGTCTTAAATCTCTTTAGTTCGAACCTGCAGTACATCAACTATGAAAGTACTACAAAACACCAATATTCTTCATCTGCTGTTCATGCCCAACGAAAGCCTACCCTAAGTTTGAACAACGCGTTTTTAGATATGTACAAGTTGCATCACATTGGGACATTTTCCCTTCAACGTCGGACGCATAAAATGTTGGTATCGAAAGTTCCTTAAGTATTAATATAGATAATATAAATAACTTAATTACATTGATGTTTGTCGCTGTCCTTGAAGTATCTGCAACTGAAGGCGACTGCGTAGTTGTTGTAATCAGTGTCCATTACATATAGATAGGTGTTCTTCGCTTTACCTGAAAGTAAACCATATTGTTATTGTTTTAATGTTAAAATTCGCTTGCAGTAAATCAAGTGGTAGATGACTATTCTTGTATACGAATCGAATGACATTTAGCTTGTTAAAATCGATTCAGTGGGTTAGGCAACAGACGCGTTTGATTCTCCTTACGTGTAAACAAATACACTCCTAAGCATGTAAAATAGAGTTACGCACCTCCGAATGTGTAAGTGTACATAATTTTTCCGCTTCCAGGGTAAACCTGTGTAAGATCTCCCTCAATGTACTTTCTTGCGCCATCAACAACGTGTGTGAACTTCATCTTTCCTCTGAACTCCTTGACGAAGTACTCGATAAGAGTACATTTAGCTTTGTCACCTTCTTCAGAGGGGTTTGGGAATTTGGCGATTTCGTACCACGTTCCACCATACTAAGGAAAACAATAATTTGACATCACTATTCTATTCAAAATTAATTATTCTCTAGTTACTAAAAAAACATTCTTGTTTCTTATCTCGAAAAATCCAGAAAAATCTTACATGTTATATTAAATGACATGTGAATTTAAAATGTAATAATAAAAATGTTTGTTTATTCCTTGTCATATTCCATTCCAGATTGATATATTATTTTTTATTCACTTATAATAACTGTAAATTTTTTTACATAAAATCTAAGGCGTAATTTCAGTTGCTTCACGCTATTCATGTAATATTCTTGTATTAAAATATACTAATACATTTAATTTTCCAAAAATAATAAAAGTTATCTCAATATGTTTTCATACAAGTTATTAAACAGTGGAAATCGTCTGTACACTTATAAACTTATGAATACTTACAGCGCTGAAGTCAAAGTTTGACATTGGTTTAAAATTGGGACATGGTCCATCTTCAAAGATGACGGACACTGCCGAAGCAGAGGCGACGAAGATTGCGAACAAAGTAAATCGAAGCATATTGTATTAAAACGAATGTACTAAGAATTTGCTAGCTTACTCAACCAAAGACACTACAAGTCTGAATGATGTTTTACGTTCACATTCGTTTTATACCAAATTTTGGCTAGAGGTCATCAACGAATTGTTCATTCATAATTTACTTGTAAACCGAATTGTTTTCGATATTTTTTCAACACAAATAAATTTTTATTTTCGAATACTAACTTACAATATTTACCTAACTATAAAACTTGATGTTAACTGTAGTTTTTCATACATGGACATATTTCGCAATATTTTCGGCCTCAAATAAATTTGAATACTTGTTTTTAACGTTTCATTTTCAAAAAGCCGGGTATTTAAAAAAACACATATGAAACCCGTCTTAAAAATGCTAATAATAAACCAGACATAATTATTCTCTTATTAATTTTTTTTTAATTTGATAAGCTTAAAGCCAATCGTCCATCGACAACAAAATTTTTTTTTTCCTCGTATGAGCTTTGATAGTAACTAAATTTGCAAACTGAGAAATAAAATTTATGAGTAGAAGTTTTAACTTGAAAGACTTATTACTTTAACTTACTATTTGGTGGACACAAAACTTAATTCCCAACTTAGCATACTTTTCGGTGTGTAATGGACTTTAATTTATCTTCTATACATATAATAAAATTGTAATTTCTGTTTGTAACATCAAAGGAAAACTTCCAGATTTCGGAATTATGAAACATTTGCGTTACTGATAACAAAAATCGTATATGAAAAAATTTTGTCTGTCTGTCCGCATGCCACGTTTGTTTCGGGTAATCTTTAAAAGGACTGTCCCGATTTCGACTGAACTTTCACTGAAGGGTAGCTGACATAGACGGACATATTATGGGCTTATTTTTTTATCTCAACAGCTAGTCTTAAATAAAATATCAAATATATTTTTTTTATTAAAATATTAGTTGACTTTTATTAATTTACTAATATTCCCTTTAACCTTCCCAATTAAGCTCGAGTCTTGTGCTAGGATATGGTTCACAATAGTCGAATGGCGGGATTAGAACACTCGACCGCAAGATCAGTAGTCCGTACCCCAAACCATTAGCCTATTGGCGCTTATTGACTTAAAAGATTTTTTTTTCAAAGATCTGAAAGTAAACTGGTTGACTTTGTCTTATACTTTCTAATTTAAATATATTTTTAGCAACTAAAGCTTTTAATATCTAGCTCCATTACAATCTGGCAAATTTCACAGTCGATCGGTGACATAAATTAAAATATGTAAACTAGCTCAGTTTGCTTCACTGAAATGAATAATTAAGTGCATTAAAAATGTGTTTTTACCTACCACTAAGCAGTTTCCTCTAATTAAACCATTAGATAAAATAAAATAAAAAAACCATGAGATATAGGTAAACAATATAAAAGGAAATTGTTAGATCCAGTTTCTTTTAACATTTTAAACAACACTAGGAATGTGCAATACCACGACTAGAAGACTTAAAGGAAGTGGAAGTAATTCCGCCTTTCGTCTTATGAGTGTTAGTATCGGAGACCTAATTCTAGTGCTCTCCGTCTTTCTACTCTTTACTTTTAGTTGAAGAAAGATAATTAGACTAGAAAGGAAAGTGAACCATAGTGAGTGAAAATACCTTCTTACTGTACACTTAATCAATTCCTTCAAGATATGGGTTTTTTACCACGATTGGGTTGGTTCAAGATAGTTAACGTAAAGATAACTTGTTTGCAGCGGTCAGACTCAGAATCAGACGATAGCTCACTCGTTTGTCACCTTATGTAAACCGACAAAATAATCTTACCCGGTGGGTATAACTCCAAGTAAATGTCCACTGTTCGGCCTCTACCAGTGCCCACTAACGGTGGTAGACCCCGTTTTAACATCTTCGCACGAATGGGCCAGCTCGCCCGGTGTAATACCACGACCACACAGAAGACAGGCGTGAAGTGGAAGCAATTCCGCGTTTTGTCTGATGAGTGTGGAGCCGGAGGCCGAATTTTAGTCCGTTTCCCTTTCCACCCTTTTCTTAAGAGGTATGGATGGAAAGGAACAGAGGATTTGACGGTGGAGGAGACGCATAGGAAGGGGAAATGTCCTCTTTATGAGCATCTCCTCCTTCGTCAATTAAGGGTAGGGAACGCATCTGCAATTGCGGATTTTTATGGGGAGCGGTGGCTTTCATTTTTTTTGTGACTGAATGGCCACTGCTTGCCTTGAAGAGGCATTTACAGATTCACAGGGCTTGAGGTGGCCGAGTGCAGATGGCGCTTAGCCTAAACCTCGTTTATGAGTAACTAAGCTCGAAGGCTCCCTCAGGAGCCTCGGCATGACCCGTTACTTCGTTATTATTACCGGATTGGGAGGCCACCGAGCTCTTAGATCGCTTCGGTGGACGCTCCATGGAGTGACTAGGCACAAGGGCCCCCGAGAGGGGATCTCGGCTCGGGCTGTCACTCAATACGCGTTTGCATTCCGATTCAAGGACGCCCGAGAGGGCCAAATCTCGACTTGATCGGTTGCTGCTATCTGATTAATATTAATACGTCTAACATTACTACCACTTCGGAAAGCGTTAGCGCTGGGAGAAGAAGTGGCGGAAGAAACTCCAGCAACGCTTCTATCATTGATAGCAGATGTCGCTTTCAATTTCGATGGATTTCGGTGGCCGCTTGCTCGTTTGCCACCTTATGTTATAAAAAAAATGAAAGCGTTGTTCTGTCAATGTCAAAATATTACTTGATTATTGTTATATAACTGTCTTATCGTAATTTTTCTATACCTATACATTTCCTGAGAGAATTGCCATAGCAGCGCTTCTCTTACCGGGTCAGAAAAACTTGTCTTACTATAGTAAACATTAATCAGTACTAAATATAGACAGCACTAATTATAGCTAAATCGTTCTATAAATAAATTTACATAGAATAATGAAAATGCGATGCATTTATTAGATTTAAATTAAGCTTTAGTGCAATGAAATGTTATATCGTTCTCGGAAATTAAATTTGCATATAACAATTTATTTCGGTGTTTAAGATTTTCAATATTAATGTAAAAAGGACAGGAACAATAATCAAACCTTAAACACGGCCATAATTATTAGAGAACAAGTCTTCAATTAACCGCAACTTTTGACAAAAATGTTTAACAGAAGCGACGGACCAAAGACTTTAAGTTTTCGCTTTAAAACTGTTCTAAACTTCAAATTGTTTTAAATTTCCAAGCTAAAATTTAAAAGTTTTGATATTGAGAACAATTGTTCTATCTTCTTAAAAGCTATATACGTTCAGTTCTAACTGAACATTTCAAATGTTCAGTAAAAACTAAACGTCTATAACGTGATTTATTCTGTTTGTAGACTTTGCTTTAGAAAACAACCTTAAAGTTTATGCTTGTACAAAAAACAACTCAAACTCAAAATTGTTGTAAACTTTCAATTGTTTTAAAGTTCTAAGCTTTGAGTTTTGATATTCAGAACAATTGTTCTATTTTTGACCGACTTCCCAAAAGAAGGAGGTATTCAATTCGACGGTATATTTTTATTTTTTTATTTTTTTTTTTATGTGTGTTACGGCATAACTCCGCCGCTAGTGGACCGATTTGGATAATTCTTTTTTTATCCGAAAGGTAAT